TATTTAATGCAAAATACATAATATCCTCTAACATAAACCACTACTAGATGGCTAAATGTATATTCTTGTGTTATATTACAATATATTTTGTGTAGGTCCATGTCTGGCAGAACTGTGCAGCTTTTGTTGTTAGGAATAGAGCTGTGGCTGTATTTTGGACCTACATTTTTAGTTTGCAGGTGAAATGGTCTCATTTCTTTCCATTTAAGCCCAAAGAGGAACCATTTCCTGGAAAACTCCTTCCCTGAATTAATGTACCACACTGCAATGTTTTTTTTTTTTTAACCAGGACTGCCTGTGTGGACAGCATAGGAGCCATATGTGGATGCAAATGTACCACAACAGTCTGACTCCTCAGCAGATGCATAAACATCGTAGCTGGATAGAGGGACAACTTTATTACATATTTACAAGTCATTTTTGTAGTAAACTCATCACACGGATAAGCAAAAAAAAAAAAATATTATAAATCAGGACATTCACACGTTTATTCCTAAAGGTCCTGTAAAAGAGATCCCTTACAGAGATGCACACATTTTTATCATGAAAACACAAACTGAACCAGAGGAAAAACAGAGTTAAAGAGTTATAGTTGGGAAATATTGCTAAAGCTTCTTCAAGCGAGTAAATGTTTAAAGCATTCCAGTTGTTCCCTTTTGGAAAAACAACTTCAAGTGTCCTCAACTCATAAACTGTCCTTTTCTCAAAGATTCACTATTACAGAGCAACTGCACTGGGAAAAGCCAAGAGACACATTTTTTAAACGCAGTGTTTCAGTTTAAATATTCCATTACGTGTTGGTAGGTGCAGTCAAAGTTTAGCAGAATGTCAGCGTTTGGGAAAAAAAAACGCAAACGAAGCTTTGAAATTTCTAATCCAAAGGAGTTTTCTTTAGGCTCCCCCTCCAGCAATCAGCTCTCAAGGCACCATGCCCAAAGCTGAAATTATTCAGCAAATTAGCAACCTGGTCATTTTGTTAAATTTAGATCAATGCTAGAATAGATGAGGGTACGTTTTGTGAAGGCATCAGGTTACAAAACAGGTCGAACCAGACGCACAGGCACAGTAACTGTGGTAGCTGGTTTAGTTAAACTACGTTATGGCACATAAACTGGTTATGTATGAAAAAAGAAACAAAACAAAGTGTATCATGCAAACAAATTGTCTCAACAACTTGACTAAAACTGTCACTGACTATGTTAAACTAAACCTCCTTTTGATTCTGGATATTTTTCTGTTTCTCTTGGACTCAGGAAGTGAGATTTATCATGTGGTACTGATTGAACAATATGGGGAATGTACCATCCATGTCACCGTAGACAGAGAATAAGAAAATGTACTTTACATTTTTGCTTATTAAAGATATTCTTCAGACCTGAGAGAAACTAAAAGGGTAAGAAAACTATCGATGCTCCCTGAGTGGGATAAAAAGGTTGTTGTGATTAAATCTAAAAGCTGTACAAGAACATTGTGAAGAGATTTGGAGAAAAGAAGGTACATTTATATGAAAGGTCAAATCTGTGGTATTCTATGCCCTGCACAGAAATGTAAAAAAATACACATTTTGTCCATCATTCAACCAAAATAGCACGGCTATTGAAAGAAGACAAAAACAGAAAAATTACACAAATCTTCAACAAGAAGCTGATAAAACTCAGACCGTCTTCCAAGCGCTTCCCAGACCTGTAACGTATAGTGAAAGGCAGACACCCACGATCAAACCTAATATCCAAGAAAGAGGTCGGTCTTAAAAAAGCAAAATGACTCATTAGACAGTTCGTGTATTTATCAGAGCATGACAAGTTGTTTTCTCTGTGCTGCAAATCAAGACTGTCACTGGCTTCTCCCATCCAGCTATAAGTCTGCCGGTCCGTGTCCTTTAGAGTGCCGCTTTGCTGTCAAACATGTCCTTGATGTTCATGAGGCTGAGATGGTCCCCTGCATCATGTCAAGAGCCCCATCATCAATTCACAAACTCATCTGCTAAATATGGAGATGGCAGGAATGGAAGCCGATTCAAAAGCCCTGAGCTGCTCGGCTGTTTGATGTAATTAGCTGCTAACAACAAATAGGCTGCTGCTGCTTTGATGTCATTCTGCCAGCTGCTCTCTGGAGAGCAAATATCCCAAAAAAAACCTAAACTTACACCGGTAAAGTTGTCTATTTTTAAAAGTGGTAAACTTTGAGCCGTGAACTAAATCCAGCTGAAAGGATCAGTAAAGCACAATAGTGGCAAATGCTGCTGACAATCCAGAGATTTTCTGCATATTTTAACACCACATGAAAGATGGAAAAAATGTTAGAGGACTCTTGTATGTGTAATCATAATAATACACTTCATTACTCCATTTTTCAGGACATAAAATATGCAAGGAAGCACCAATTTGTTATCAGGTTAATTATCTTTGTTTCGGAGCTGCTGGAGCGTTCGTTTTTCCAGATTAATGAGTTTTGCCTTGTATTTCTCTGCTGTCACAGTGCTGCTGGGGTCTGATGTAAGAGTCACAACACGGTTCCCAACCGTCCCCTAAAACTGGACATCATTCTCTATTTGACTCTTGGAACATGCATTTCATTAGATCTGCTTGATTTTGGAATAAACTAAAATCAAGATTGATCATTTAAAACAATTATTCATAAAGTTAAAAAAAAATGAAACTGTTCTATATAGGATATAAGAACCTACACAAATTATTCGTTTTACGCTTTCTTTTTTATAAAATTAACTTTAACAGTCAGAATATATTAAAAAGAAATTACTTTAAGGGTGCTATTTAACAGTATAGGATAATTTTACATCTGCCTGAAGAGCATCGCCCCTGAGTGATTACAGATACGAAGGGGCTGAGTTTGGCTCCAGGCTTTGAGACGCCTGCTGAAATATTAGAGGAGGAAAGATATAGAGCCTTCAAAGGGAACAATAACACCAGAAATAGTTGATAGAATTATTAGTTAACATTATAAAGTGCTATATGTTGCTAAATAAACATGCTACATGGCCCATCTGTGTGTTACTCCAAGTCTCTCACTAAATTGACACAAAGAGACAAAAGGAAAACAAGAGGCGCAAAATTACATCAAGCTCAAAAAGGGAAATATGTCATAATAACGTTACAATGTTAGTGCTTTTTTATGCTAACGTTGTTTCTGTTATGTTTAGAGCCAAAATAAAAATAAAAAAAACTGAGCAATAAATAGAATTCAGTGCAGCATAATTGATTTATATGGAATACACTTTGCTCCATATTTCAGAGAGTCTGTGTAAATCTGTGTTAGATGCTGATGATAGGATGAGCTGGGGCTTGAAGGACATTTATCAATCCTTGCACATAAGTCACCAGTGTCAACTACAACCAATCAAACATGTCGGCCATTAGCTTTGCCAGGATATGCTTCACGTCGCCGTTTTTAGAAAAAAATATCCAGGCATAGTTTGCATGCTGCTGGGAATAGTGCCAAGAATTACAAAGGGTGCTCTAACTCAGAATTAAGTTTAAAAAAAATCTATAGATTTAACATCCAGGAGTCAGATGGAAGAACAACAGCAGATTTATTAGCTTCTATCAACCAGTGATAAATTAGTTTATGCTTAATAAAAACTAATGATTGTGCTTGTGTGTTGGATGTTGTGCAACTTTATTTCCAAAATGCCTCTGCTAAGTATTGTGAATTCAGTGGAATCTGAGAATGTTTATAACTCCCTACTTTTTTTTATTTGGGGAGATTTTTCAGTTTGTAAACTCCACTGAACTGGATTCGCTTCAGCAACAGGAACAATTTACGCTAAGACATCAGTTGTGCAGTCATCCAAAAAAAAAAAAGGAAATTGAAGACTTTCAAGTTTATGGTCAAAATTTTGATGAACTCTGTTCAATAATGTTATGATATAAAAGCCCTCTGAAAAGTAAATAGAGAAATTTTGTGACCAGTCCTGAATGATTAAACCACTAATCCAAAGCAAACGGCTTATATGAATGTGACATTTCTGATTGTTTTCTAGAGGAAAAACGAATGTCAGCTAACGCATAATTATTTGCACACCAGGAAAGGTTCATAACCTCTTGCCTCAGGCGTTTAATATCATGGAGACTGGTGTGAGTTTAGAATCTGTTTTGACATTTTTACTGATACCTCAGTGAAAGGAAAAAGGGCAACCTGGTCAGCAAACAATGAAAAAGCAGCCGCAGTGTGGACTTCCACAGACAACCAGAGGTCTTGACAGAGATCTCGACTGTTTTCAGAAATAATGGGACACAATTGGGTTGTTTGGTCTTAAAATTGAAATCAATACCGTTCCCGTTGCCCAGGTAGAAATATCCGTCAACCAGCGAGGCGCCGTTGTTGAAGTGTTGGGTCATGTGGTCCAACCAGTTGGCCTCCACTCCTTTGATGCCTTCTTCATAGCTTTGAACCCGCAGAGGCACTTTGACAGTGTAGTATTTCACCTGGCCCTCTCGGACCGGCGGGTTGTTGTACAAAGCCAGCAGTTCCACTCCTGTTGAAGGAAGACAGAAAAGAGAACTTTGTAATTGATTTGAATCGAGAATTTGTTGCATCTGAGGAAGTTTTTCTCTGCCAACATGAACCACTGCTACGCAGTGGCTAAAATCCAAAGTGTAATCCGTGTCTCTCTGGGAAGACTCTCAGATGCAAAAAGCTGCTCTGAATTTCTCGGTAGACGGTTGGCTCCAACACAGAAGAGCTTTGTTCCAAGAATATATTGACAAGCTATTGTAATTTAAAGTTTGATATCTAGTGTTTGGCTATTTTCAATCACACACTTATCTAATTTCCTGAGACTTTGTTGCAATAACTTGGTAACTCTCCACTGGGTGCAGGCTTTTCTTGTCCTCCGAGTTGAAAACCAGAAGACTTCAGCCAAAACGTGAACAATCACAAGCAACACGGCCAAGAAAAGTTGGCTGCACTGTTCATACTAATCATCCATCAGCTGCAAATAACAGTTTGTGTGTTTCAGTGTTTTCAACACAACTTTATTCCACTTTTTTCTGTATGTGATGTGTAATCTGTTTCTGCAATGCAGTAGATGATATTGCACAAGGTCTGTAAATGTCATTATTTAAAAAGCAGGCACTTATCTATACAAAAACAATTATTTACAATAATAATGACACAACAAACAGGATATTTGGCAATAAAAGTTAAATGCTAGTTTAAAGGTAAATGAGATCTTAAGATGTTTTTTTGCTTCCTGATATAACTGCTTGTTTTCCAGCTCTCTTTTCATTGGTTGGTGCCAATGATTTGACATTTCTCACATCATCTGCATTATTTCTGTGTTGTCATTTTCTTCTTTCTACTTCCCTGACGGATTCTTTGCCAATACATTCTGGTGTTAAAAATATCTAATCTCATAAGATTAAAGCTTAATATTCAAATCCTCAAAATATATTTTCTACCTCATCTAATGTTTTTGCATTAATAGAGCAAAAACAAAAAAGACTTTCCAGTAAATTAGTCTTGAGCTTGCCTACAAAGCATGAAACTGACCCTGGTAAAATACATTCATAACACTGAGATCCCCAATTAGCGCACAGGTCCAAAATAGTAAAGCCCTGTTTATTTTAATGAGTTATCTGTTCACTACTCACTGTTAATAAAAGAGATGTTCAGACTATGAATGCATATCAGGTGTAGAAATTGATGCAATCCTTCAATTTAACAGTTAAATGAGTAACAGATGGTTTACGCAGAACTAAGGGGGGATTAACAGCTAAAGCCTTAATCTATAACTAGAATATTCAGTTTCTAGTTATGGATCGTCTTCAAACATCGTAACTCAAGTCTTTATAGTTGTGAATTAGGTGGTATTAAAATAACCACTCAGCTGTGTTATAGTTATTGAGAATTATAAAATAAAATAAACAGTGAAATATCCTGTAAATCCTGTACGTTGACATGTAGAGCAATTATAAACCATTTACATGGCAAGTTAATTAATAGCTTTTTAAAAGACCCTATCTCGATCTAAAAAACTTATTAGTTAATAGAGTCATATAATGTATCTGAGTAGTTTGGTGAATTATGTGGTTAAGCATGAAAAGGCAAAGTAACACATATTGTGGTTGCTTAATATTCTGAAAAACGTGTCAAAATCCCCCTAAGAAGTCGTGGCAAAAGCTTCATTTTTAAGCAGTTACTGAGAATAATTCATTATGTCACAACAAAAGTTCATCCAAACCCTTATAGAGAAATAACGTCAACATATGAAGAGGTGAAGGAATCGATTTACGGTGTGTTGATTCATATTGAAGAAGCACAAACACATAAAATTTAAACATAGAGTTGTTAAATAAACCACAAAATGGCTTCAAAGTTCTTAAAATTATCAGAAAAGAACCTGTATTAAAATATGTAAATGAGCTGGAATAAATCATATATGAGAGTCATCCAGAATTACATAGGATGGGGTTAATATTTGGTGTTTCCTATCACAAACTGAGGGGCTTCATGTAGAAAAGTCCCGTTCACCACAAAACAAAAACACAAAAATATTAAAAATAAATTAGGCGATGAAAAAATAACATTTATCTTAGAATTATTCGGATTAGCTAGTGCCTTCTGTTTTAATTGTAGAACCTCATAAATTAAAAAAGGTCATTTATATCAGAAGATTCAAACCTTTTTGACCCTATTGGATCATCTGAAGACCTTTAAATTGCATTGTTTTATTTTATTTATTATCAAACTTCTGCTGACTGATAAATGAGTTGGTGTCAATAAAATAAATTTGTATGCAAAGAACTATAACAAGAAACCTCCACCTGACAGGTGTGAAATAATAGGAGAAATGAAAAAGAAATACAATATGGGATTTATGATGCCCCGAGCGTGACTCACAAATGCACCGCAAATCTTTCCCAAGGATTTTTGCCTTCTTTGAATCAGACATGCATTGAATCAAAAGCAATTTGATGATATTCACAATACAAGTCATCCTCTTCTTTTCTTTTAATGTCTTCTATAAATGATGTAACACTGCTGATGCGGAACTTAAAAGGGACCATTCTATTGTAACCGAGTTAATTCATACTATAACCTTGAATAATGCATTAAAAGCTGCACAGCTAGCTGTTGTTTACATCAAGAATAGATATGCATAATGCAGCGGGCCTCTGGAGAGAGAGCCGGGCTCAGAAATTTGCCTACTGTTCGTTTTGTCACTGTTCTTCGCTCGGATCATACTAAGTCAAAGCGCAAAAGAGTTTTAGTAGTTGTGATGCGAGCGAGTGGAGTATTTGCTCAGCTTAGCTTTGAAAAAGCACAAAACGTGAGATGTGAGCCGGGTTTGGATCTGTGAGAAAACATTGCCAATCGCGCCTGGTAACATTTTCCCCTTTTCTTCCAATGCAAATGTCAGACTGTCATTCCCCAAGTGAACCAGATGGATGAGCAGAATGTGTGGCGCTGCCACCCACTCAAACACACCAACACGCACGCCGGTTTTGGATGGTGGTGTTTGGTAATGGAGTCGTTGCTTCATCAATTTGGTTCCTCTGTCCGTCTGTCCGTCCATCCGTCAGCCAGCCTGCCATCCAGGAAGAATGAATCATTTATAACCATTTCTTCTTTGGCTCCACAGACTGATGTGACAGCTGGTCCTCCTAATTCCTTAAATCTTTTTCATTTGCCCCTCTTGAGAAATATCAGATCAACGGCAACAGGAGAAAACTCACACACTCTTCCCGTTATCCTCCCAATGCTAACAATGTTACAACAGGGAACAATATGGAAAACAAATCTTAGACAACACGACTGAATTTCCATTCAACGTGCCTCCAACTTGCCAGAGCTTCCCCAGTCTAATCGCTCTTATGTTAACTGGTTTACGGCACCTTAAAAATCCATTAAACATTTAAATTTTGCAGTATCATTTGAAAATTAAATTGTCTCCCTTTTGAATTCAAAAAGTAGCAAATAGCCGCCCTAGAATTTGATGAATGTGCTACAAGACATGAGCTAATTTACTTTCCTAGCCATGCGTACATGACTGTTGTGACTGCTTTAGGAAACAGGAACGACTTTGGACGAGCAAAAGATTACAAAAACACACACAAAAAAGCTACAAATGACTACTTCTGGTCATTTTTTTGCCCACTTACTTTTTTACTATTTGTTTAGATTTGGTCCACTTATCCAGCATAAAACAATAAAAAAGGACATTGGCAATGTGACAAAAAGAAGTGTAATTCACATTAAAACTAGATTCCTCATTGTTGACTCTGTTGCTTCTAATTTGACAGCTTTGTGGATTAAATTGCAACATAAACGGCAGAATAAGAGTCAGTGGATGAAAACGTGCTTCCTGTCTGCTTCACAGCATGAACTATTTTCTGAGTTATGTCTGAATGATTTGCATTATGTTGCAGCAAGGCAACTGCGTTTCAGCCAGAAGGCTAGGTAACTTATTTTTTGAGCATGTGAGTGTTTTCAGCAGTTCAGAGGAAACATATAGAAACCACAGGAGGCGGATTGAGTGGTTTGCCGAGGGGCAATTTCAGGAGGACAGCGTGGGAGGAAAAATAGAGAAAAATAAGATAAGAAGTCTGCCTTCTGATGTCCATCAAACTGGACTGTGAGATAATAACAGATCCACCCGAAGCCAGGCTTTCATGTGAAATTCTGTAATAATTCTGATGGAAATCTGTGCAGACAGACATCTGCCAGAACTCACTGCAAAATCACCGATATCAAAGCCTTGCTACTGTAACACAGGAAAACATGCAACAGGGATTTTGTTGGAGTTGCACAGAGACCTAATCTATGAATAAAACATAAAACAATAGGATGAAACTCTTGCCAAGATTAGGAATTTGCTTTCATGAGCTAAAATTGGTCAACTATATTGGGGTGATTAATAATAGAAAAAAAAAAAACTGCATTTACAGTCAGAGATTTCACTACAGAGTCTCATTTCTTTTCCAAGATAAAAAACAACTTAACTTTTCCTAAATCAATAGTAAATTTCATATATATATATATTTAAATTCTGTAATTTCCACTGTGTAAACTGCAGAGGAACAGATACTTTGCTACATAGAAGAACACAAGGTTTAGTAATCTTTGATCTTCGAGTTAGGACATTAATAGCCAACATAAATCTCTTAAAGCAGCCGCTTGCCAAGTTCCTTCCAGAGCCAGAGGGACCTCTTATGCGAAGGTGGCCGGTATGAGACTCTGTTCTAGCTCATAAAACAACAGTGGTGCATCATTAGCATTCAGGCGTTATGCCAAGAGCAAGAACTGAAAGACATAAGTGTCACATTAAGGTGAAATTTCTACTTGTAACACATTTTTAACAATCTTTCAGACAACTATAGTGGTAGTTTCTGGTCTATGGTGGGAAAAAGTACTTTGTGTTCAAATAAGTTAATAACTATACAGACATTAGAGAAGAACATATGCAGTGCCTATTAAAATGATTTCTAAAATTGAGACTTATCAAACCGCACATTACATTTAAAACCTCGTGAAAATTTTAGCTTCATTTTACTGATCTTATTTGAGCAGTGCAGTCTTCTGCTGCTGCAGAGCATCTCCTTTTATGTTTAACATGTTATGCATTCAGAAGTGGCATTCTGCATTGCCTTTCTGTACCAGTCTATTTAAGCTACTGTTGCATTTCTATAATCTGGAAGTAGCTATTCTCCTTTGATGTCAACGTGACATTGAATTTTTGTCCACACAATTAATGTCCATTGGTCAATTATTTTTTTCAGGCCATTCTGTGTAAATCTAAAAGATGGCTGTGAAAATCCCAGTGGATCAGCAGTTCCTGAAATATTCAGAGCAGGCTGTCCACCCACAACCATGCCACAATCAAAGTTACTTCAATCCTCGTCCTTCTCCATTTGGATTCTCGGTTTAAACTTTAGCTATTGGTCTTTGCCAGATTTAGATGGCTGAATTAACTGAGTCGGTGCCATGTGATTGGTTGAGGATGAACTTTTGTTCCTTATAAAGTGACTAGTATGTGTTATTCCAATCTAGTACAAAAAAATAAGTGCTTTTTGACAGAACAGTTTTAAATAAATGCAAAATTTGGGCAGAAAAAAAAAAAGTTCAGAAAAATCAAAAACAGTTTATCTTTCTGCATCTTCCTTAAGTACTTTCCATTTGTCAGATTCGTACCTGCTTGGCAGAAAATAACACCGGTAACATTTAATTTCTCACGGACTGTTCCTGCTCATCTAAATGACTTTGATCCCAAAGAGATTTTTCACGAGAAGGAATTGTCGTTTTCCCCAAGTCATCCAAGCGTTCGTGTTTCCAGACTTAGAGGATCTCACTAAAGCTCCGATCTCACTGGTGGTGTTTCTTTTTCAGCGGTAATCCATAGCTTTCTGCCAGCCTCAGCGCTAGCACTTGCACAGTGTTCACCTCGAAGATTTGTGGATTACCGAGGACAAGCCAGCAGCAGCAGCAGAGACTCCTGGGCGTTCTCGGCAGGCTGGGCATTAGTAGAGAGGGACATGGGATTTTGGCAGACTCCTTCACTGCCCCGGCTGGCTGCGATGCCGGCGCTACTGGCATTGTCACAGAGATTTGGGAGAAGGAAAGGGGGAAAGAGCGGAGAAAGCTGTGCAGCTGAGGGAGGTAGAGGACAAGTCAGTGGGGGATTATCTCACAGCAAAAAGCCCAGATGGCCCACTGGGTGATGGTGGGCTGCCACACCATGTTCCAGACCTGCATGCATGTCAACACGTGATTATAAAGACCGAAAGATTACACACATTTATTATATAACACCTAATAATGAGTTCATTTCAATCTAATAGCTGGTATACAGTACATAGCTCCCACTGGGACTGCACATGATGCTGACACGTATCACAAATAGGTTCAGTGACAGGATGGGAGACTGTAGGAGGCGCTGAAAGTGGTGGGCGTCTCCATCTGTTAATCCCAGACACTCAAAGAAAGCTGAAACTATAAATGTGCAGGAAGAACAACTCAAAGGCGTGTAGCTGGCTCGCTTTCCGAACAGACAAAACGAGCAGCTTCCAAAAAAAGAAAAAAAAAAAAGAAAAATCCCGGCATCATCAGCTGTTCGCTGATGATGCTCCACAGCTTCGGTAATATAAGACGACTCTCTTTGTGTTTGACAGAGAGAAGGGATTATGTCCCGAGGCGACACATTGTTGTGTAACGTTCTAGCAGTTGCAGGAAATGACACCTCCACAGACGCAGAGTGGGTTTTTTTTAGGAGAAATCTGCAGTGGTATTTTTTTTTTTCTTAACAAACAAAAAAAGTAAAGTTGCAGACAAAAACACAACGTTACAAAGATGGAGATCATTTGAGAAGTCAAATCTTTCAGTTTGAATACTTGTGAGGGAATGACAGCTCATTCTCAACCCTCCTGGCAAAAATGATGTAATCCACAGTAAATGTGTCTGCTGTGAAACCAGCTCCAAATCATACACATTTTATAAAGTATAAATCTGTATTTTTTATTTTGTCTGGAAATTCATTAGTACTTCATAGTGAGATTAGTATAGTGGGCATCACTGTAGCAGATGCAGCTCTCCTACATTTAAAGTTTTGACCTTTAATTACGATCCTCCATGATTTGGCCTTTCAGTGGAATTTGTAAGAATTACTGTTCGGTCATTTTGCTGAACTTTAAAGTTTAGAGCCTAGAGAAAAGCATTTGTGAAGTTTTACATGTTGACCTTTAATTATGGTTCCCTTTGTGGATTAATTAGTTCTGCTTACATTTAAAGCATGTAGTTACGCAACTGACTAAACTATGAATAAGTACTTAATCATGTTTAATCATGGGCATCTACACAAATACATTTAGTTTTATATGCTAACGCTTCCAGAAATGAAACAACTAGAAGTTGTAGCAAAATTATTAAACGAGGACCCATTGGACTAGTTGTAGGTGTATTTAGTGCCAATATTGCATTGGTTAAAAGTAGAACAGTTTACTGAAACATAAACAAGCAATGGACAGTACAACGAGAAAGTCGTAAACAGTCTCTTACTTCTGTCATAATTTTTGCATTCAGACAACTATTAAAGTGTTATTAATTAATAGTTATTCAGGTTCCTTGAAGGTACAACAAAGTTTTACTTTGTTCTTTTGCTTATTTTCTCTCCCTTATATTACTTTTTTTAAAGGATTATTGGATAGGAATGTATGTGTGCATTCATTCCTGCTCAAAATTGCTGTTTAAATTTGTATTTGAATATCCAGAATGATACAAAAACCTTGAAAATTACAGTCTGGTAAAGTATGTAACTTTGAAGATGAAAATATATGTAAGAACTGTAAAACTGGAGTTAATTTCAGTTTTGATCTGACAAACTTAAAGACTTGCAATTAACAAAAAGTCAGATTAGTATCAATATATGCAACACAAGCTCTCTATTGCTCATTTATTTTGATCTCTTGCAGGGTTTAATCAGGTTGAAGCACCATGTTGATGCACAAAACATATAAAAACAATGTTCAACGAAATTTTGTTCTTTTTATCAGATTGTCGAGGAGTGTTTATAAATCTTTTCCAAAATGTGCTTATCATTTTTCAGAGGAATTATTAAGATGCTAAAAACATCACATAATAATAGAAGAGGTTCTGTTTCCAGTGTTGGTTGGACTCTTTCATGTTTCTTTAAAGGGATGAAATTCAGATGCCATCCTTCTTCTGTGGACATTTTCTTTAGGCCTAAAGCTTCTTTTCATCCACTTTCATATTTTTGACAAGGGTGAGAATTCACAATTCGCTGTCATGGTCAGCTATAATGACTAGATTCAAACTTAGTAAAATGATAAAAGAAAAACCTTGAAATGCCTTTAGAAACTCTTTGCCTTGAACAAAGAATTAAATTAAGAGATTACAAACAGGTCTGGCTGCTTGGAAGCAAAGAAAATAAATAATCTCAGTTGGGTTAAAGGCTTGGTACAGTACTATGCATGTGCTTCACATAGCATTCAAAACTGATGTAAATATGAGTTAATTAAACATCAGAATATGCACAATAAGACTTTTCCATGATCTTATTGAACAACCACTGCAAACACACCAGCAGCCTTGGCACTCTAAAAGGATTAATCAGGTAAAGAAGCAGAATGGATGGCTAGATATGTTCCAGAATACATTTTTGGGGTATTTATTAAAAAACTGAGTATACAGAGAGCATAGTGCAATCACAATTCTTTTGCTTTCCAGCAGATCGTTTCATTTATCCCAGCATGCAGGTAATAATTACCTTGATTTTTGCCTAACAACTTCTTTCCTCTTAGTTGTGATGTGGAATTGTAACCATAGTGACCACTCACCATCACCTCGCCTGTATCTTGGCCTCTCCTTTCTGTCTCCGATGATGTCTTTGTTGTTATTGTGGTACGACGAGTCTTCCTCGGTCAGAACCTCGCTGTTCTCCAGGTCTCCCTCTGATAATGGAGATGCTGCCGGTGAGATGCCGTCCCGGATGCGCCCTCCGCCAGAACCTGAGTGGTTTTCACTGTTGATCTCGCTTTCATTTCTCTCCCTATCCAGTCGGGATGCCTGCATGCCCCCCTCTTTGTCAGTACTGTCACTTTTCGCTCCAGGATCTGGCTGGTTTCTGGGGCTTGAGGGGTTTGATGGGCTGCAGCTACCCAGGGAGCCAAGGACAGAACTGGGGCTGGAGTGCAGAGACAGAGAGGGGGTCTCTGGTTCTCTGATCCGGGTGCAAGGCGCTCCGTATGGCTCCTGGACAAATCCCACAAACATCACCCCCTGGTCAGCGAAATCCTGCATCTGCTGTGGAGAAAAAGAGCAAAATAAAAATTATGAAGCTAGAGTAATTGACAGAAAAGCTGCTGTAATGTTGTGAAGAGACGGTTGGTTCCATTTCATCCCTTGTATTGTGACGAATCCTGTTAACTCTGCAGCAGCCTGTGTGCATGTACTTATGGTTGACCATAATATTGGGATATCCCAAATTAACAGCTGTAATTTTTTGAAAACCATATTTAAAAACTGTGGTAATCATTGTGCTAACTCTCCTATGACCAATTTAAATGTGTTATAATTTGTTTTTGTGTGAAGGTTGTGCTTCCTGGTAATTCTTCTTCTGCTGTCATTTCTACTATGCAGCAGGATAAGTTTCTGTACAGCAAGCCTTTGAGTTTAGTAAAGCGAATGCAAAGGTGCTATCAGTGCATTATAATGATAATACAGCTTCTGTTTTTGCGTTTATTTCTTTTGTAGAGTAATGACCAAAAGCCGTCTTTAAGCTGCATTTTCTTATTATCTCTTGAGAAATGCCCGTCTCATTTCTTATCAGAAACCGCCAGGTGGTATGAATAATTTTGGCTTAACTGTACATTTTCTGTGTGCCTCTCCTGCAATCACACAGCTGTTGATTCGATCAGGGACGCCTCGATGATCTTGACCTGTGTCTTATCCCAAATCTGGCGCCTCTGTTTTTCCTGTTTGTCATGTGGCATTTTGTGTCGGCATTGCGGTGCCGCTGCAGATTGAAACGTTAACTGTCAGGGAATGTTAATGATGCCATTCTCCATTTGTGCCTCCTATCTCTGAGCTGAGGCGGCCCCTGTTTCTATCTTGAGCCTCATTGGGAGGAGAAAATAAAAATCAAATCAAACTGCAGGTTATTCACTATGAAATTGAATTGGAAAACAGTCACTCTGTCTCCAGCCATATTGTTTAGCATCATTTAAATGCCGTCTGGCTGCTTTCACATAATATTCCCCCATTCTGAAATGTTCAAATGGAACTGCTGACATAAAAGGGAGCAACTGCTGCATCTCATTTTATGGTAATGCGGCCAGTCTGAGGTAAAAACGAATGGCTCTGACTGACTAATGTCAGTGCAGTTGATAGAACAATAGATCCAAGATGATGGGTTGTGCTGATTGAATTTACTTTTGGCTCCATTTTGGTTTTTGTCATCATCATTTCATTAAGTCCTGGCACTTGACAATTCAGAACACATTTATTTCTCATCTTGGTAACACAAACTAGAAGAGAGGACGAGTGTCAGGATGGCAGATTGACACAAATAAAAGTGAATGACAAACAAAATGAGTCTAAACAAAAAAAAAAAAAAAAAAAATGCCGCCCCAAAAAAAAAAAAAAGCAATGGAAAACGGA